CCTCCTGAGTAGCTGGGATTACAGGCATGCACCACCATGCCCAGCTAATTTTTTGTATTTTTAGTAGAGACGGGGTTTCACCATGTTGACCAGGATGGTCTCGATCTCTTGACCTAGTGATCCACCCGCCTCGGTCTCCCAAAGTGCTGGTATTACAGGCTTGAGCCACCGCGCCCGGCCAGATTAAACTAATATTGACGAAGCATTTACTATATGCCAGTAGCGCAGTCAATATTATGACATACTTTATTTAATGTAACACTCATATAACATGTTTGTTTTTACTATTAGTTTTTGAAGACAGTGACAATGTCTTTTTTCTTTCACTTATTCGGAATTCAGCAAATACTTATTGAGCACTTACTATGTGCAAGTTTCTAGGAATATGGTGAGAAACAAGGAATATACAATTCCTTTTCCCACAGATCATAGACTGGCATAAAGAGTCTCAACCTCTCCTGAGTATTGTAATCATCTATGAGGGGATGTTACAGACAGAGGCACCCCAATCTGATGCATTAACTCTGGACCTAATTAGTGTTTTCCATTGTGAGGTCTAAATTATGTTTAAATTTTTCAGGATTTCACAGGCAATTCTGAGACTGAAGGTTGAGAATCACTGCTAAAGCAGGTGTCTTCACCAACATATCTCTGTACCTAATGTATCTGCGGGCACACAGTAGGTACTCAACATACATTTGCCTATCAATGAGTAAAGAACACATTATTGTTACCATTTAAGAGTAAAGGACACTGAGAGTGAGAGAAGTTACCTTGCCCAGAGATCTACACAGCCAGTAGCAGAGCTAGGATTCAAATGAAGGTCTTCTTAGACAACCAATCCCATCAACCAAATGTAGTGGCTAAGAGGAAAGGGATCATAGATCATATAAAGGAGGAAGCTGGAGCACTGTGTGTCACAGAGGTTTGGAGTCCTGGAAGCCAAGGGTGATGGGAGTCGGATGGAACAGATCTTTTCAAAAGAACCAATTCCCATTCATTGTCTCCACTCCCTCACCTGTTAGCTGTTGTTTTGTTTTCACTTATTTTTGCACTTTTGGTATGATCTACTTCAACATTAAAAAAAAGCACAGAGAATAATAAATACCCATGTATCTACCAAACATCTCAGTATTTGCCATATTTGCCATAATTTTCAGTATTTTTAAAGAAATTAGATATTATATCCTTCTGTTACCAATGGAGGGTCTTGACTATGAGTCCTCCAGGTTCTTGGCATTTTAAACAAAGAATTGGGGCCGGGCGCCGTGGCTCACGCCTGTAATCCCAGCACTTTGGGAGGCCGAGGCGGGTGGATCACAAAGTCAAGAGATCGAGACCATCCTGGTCAACATGGTGAAACCCCATCTCTACTAAAAAAAAAAATACAAAAAATCAGCTGGGCCTGGTGGCGCGTGCCTGTAATCCCAGCTACTCA